GTAGCCTCGTAGCTTCCCTCATACTGGCTAACAACCAATTGAGAATCAGAGTAGGCGTCAATTTTCATGGCCCCTGCCGCCTTACACATGCGAATGCCGGCTAGCAAGGCTTCATATTCCGCCTCATTGTTAGAGGCCTGAAATTTGAAGCGTAGTGCATACTCAAATCTGTCCCCTTCAGGAGACTCGTAGATTACGCCTGCACCACAGCCGTTCTTTGTAGAGCTCCCTTCCACATACACTTTCCAAACCTGATCAAGATTATCCGGAGCCACCGGATGGGTCATTTCAACAAAGAAGTCGGCAAACTCCTGACCTTTCACTGCCTTTCTTAGTTCGTAAGTGATTTCAAGACTTTGCATTTCAATAGCCCATTTCAACATTTCTCCCGGATGAGTCCAAGGTAGACATTGGCCGCTTGAGTGGCTGGTCGGTGTAAATCACCACCGGATGTGCCAAAAATTAAGGCTTCAGATTTTTGAAAGCCATATACAAAGCAAGGCCAAATTTTTCAACCATGGGGTACCGGAGTTCAGCATTTTTAAGAACATGCCGTCTCGCTCAGCAAGGAGAACGACACTAAGGGCATATACCGAAGTAAACCGGGAGCTGCATGCCGTCTCGCTCATCAAGGAGAACGGCACTAAGGGCATGATCTAAGACGGCTAAGTACATGTACAACGTCTCCCTAGGTAAAGGACTGGCCAACCTAGGTAGAGAATGTAAGTGCTCTTTCAACCTCTGGAATGCCGTCTCAGCATCATCCCCCCATTCAAATCTGGTCTTCTTCCTAATTGCTTGGAAGAAGTAGAGGCACTTGTCGCCTGACCGGCTGAGGAACTCCCCAGGGCGGCCAAACAGCCGGTGAGTCTATGCACTTCCTTGATAGAACGGGGTGACTTCATGTCTATCACCGCCTGTATCTTTTCAGGGTTAGCCTCTATCCCCCTTTGATCAATCAGGAATCCGAGAAACTTCCCAGACTTAACACCAAAGACGCATTTCTTAGGATTTAACATAACCTTATGCCGCCTGAGGGTGGTGAATGTTTCTCGGAGATCAGCAAGGTGATCCGTCTGTAACTTGGATTTGACTATCATGTCATCAATGTACTCCTCCACATTCCTCCCAATCTGATTAATAAAGACCGTATTAATCATCCGTTGGAAAGTGGCAGGCGCATTTTTCAAGCCAAACGGCATCACGGTATAACAGAATAACCCCTGATCAGTGACGAAGGCCGTCTTCTCTTGATCTTTCTTCCACAGGGGTATCTGATGGAAGCCGGAGTAGGCATCCATAAAACTCATCAAGGCGTGACCGGCTGTAGAGTCGACCAGACTGTCGATCATTGGAAGCGGGTAACTGTCCTTTGGACACGCCTTGTTGAGATCTGTGTAATCAACACACATGCGCCAGGTCCCATTCGATTTTTTAACAAGGACCACATTGGCCACCTAGTCGGGGAAATTACAAGGCCGAATGAACCTGGCATCTGGCAGCTTTTTGACTTCGGCAGCTGCCGCCTGACTTCTTTCCTCGCCATGGTTTCTTTTCTTCTGCCGGATGGGCTTCTTTTTGGGGTCCACGGCGAGTTTATGGACAGCGAGATCCGGGCTGACGCCTGGCATCTCTTCCACTTCAAAGGCAAAAATGTCTTTGAATTCCTTCAGCAGAAGGTGCAAGCCTGCACCCAAGGTAGCATGAGCAACCGTCCCAACCTTAACAGTACGTTCTGGACGGCTGTCATCTAGAACGAGATCAATGCTTTCGCCAGCCGGTTGGGGACGGAGCTCATCTGACCGTTCACCGGCCAGTGATTGCTATTTTTTCTCTTTCTTCACCTCCACCAGCAGAGGTGCCTTTCTTTTCTTTCTGGCTGCTGGTGGGGCAGGAGCTAGGTCGGCATCCTTGACATTGTCAAGGTCTATGGGTTCCTGACCGCCTGGGGCCACGGTATCTCGGACGGCTAAGAGGTAACACTCTCGGGCCATCTTTTGATCCCCATTCAGGGAACCCACAGTGTCGTCATCCCTCTCATACTTGATGAGCATGAGAGATGGGATGATTACTTCCTTGGCTACGTTGAGGGTCGGCTGGCCAAGGATAATGTTGTAGGCGGTCAACTCCTCAACGACCAAGAATCTGACGACAATATGTCGTCCTTGACCCTTCTCTCCCAGCCGGATGGGTAAGTCAATCCTTCCGGCTGGGTAGACCATCCCACCCCCAAAACCAACCAACGGGTGGGTGACCGGATGCATGCTGCTGACATTTTATTTCAGCTTTTGCAGGCACCGGAGGCTGATGATGTCTGATGAGCTGCCGGTGTCTATAAGGATCCGTCCAACCAGCTGGTTGGCAACCTTACATTCAATGACCACCGGGTCATCATGAGGGCGGCGGACGCTGCCCCTATCCTTCTCAGTGATCAAGACGTTTGGGAAGGAAGAGCTGGCAGACGCCTGCTCATCATCTTCTTTGTCCATCTTTCGAAGATGGCTCTTGGTGCCCCAGATGGTAGGGCCACCACATGAGAACCCGCCTGCTATAGTGTAGACCGGCTCCTTGTCGGTATCCGAACTACTAACAGGCTGGGGGTAGTCTTGGAGGACTGACCCTTATTTTCCTTTTTTGCCCCGGCTGGGGACTTAGAAATGTAGGACTTCAACAACCCTTTGTCAGCCAGACGGTCCAACGCACGCTGAAGACTGAAGCAGTCGTTGGTGTCATGGCCGACCTCCTCATGGAACTAACATAATTTATTCTTGTTTCGGGATTGAACGAAACTTTTCATTGGATTCGGCTTCTCAAGGGACAGCCGGTCCTTTATCTCCATGAGGATGGAGTTGCAGTCCTTGTTAAACTCGTACTTTGGGACGTACGGTTTAAATTCTTTCTTCTTCTTCTGGGACGGCTGGTCAGAGTCACTAACCGCCAAGACCTCTTTTCTCTTCTTGCTCTCTTCTTTCTTTTTATCCGGCTGAGCAGGCCGGTTGTCTTTCTGCTTGTCAGACTTCTTAGAGTCCGACTGGCTACCAGGCGAACAGAGGTCGGTAGCTTGAATATAGCTTTTCGCCTCCCTCAAGGCCGCCTGTAGGGTGAAAGCCCCTTTTCTGACTAGGTCGAACTTAAAGGTCGACCCGTCTCTCAGACCTTTGAAAAAGTCTATAAAAGCTACCTCATCAGACATTCCCTGAATCTGAATTCTGATCAGGTTGAACCGCCTGACATATGAGCGCAGCCCTTCTCTCTCTCCCTGCTTAACAGTGCTCAAATCAAGGCTTGTTTTCTTAGCAAGGATGTTCATTGAGAAGTTGGAAGCAAACAGAAAGGCAAGCTTCCTGAAGCTGTTTATGGACCCGGTTGGCAGGTTGCCAAACCATTGTTGGGCAATGCCCTTCAATGTAGCCGGGAAGCATCGACACCAAGTGGCATCATCCAACCCCTGCAGATACATGAGGTTGGTGTAAGCCATGAGGTGATCTTCCGGATTGGTGGTACCATCATAGGTACCAACCAACACATTCTTAACCTTGGCCGGCTGAGCCGCCTCAGTTATCTCCCGAGTGAACGCAGAAGGTTGTTCACCCAGGCGCAGCAGACGAAGCTGCCAGTCCAATGGCTGGACATTTGGATATGCCGCCTGACCCCCAAAGAAGGCCGACTGCATGAAGTGAGGAGGATACTGCCCGTAAGCCGGAGTAGGCACATACGGGACAGCTCCAATCATATGAGGGCCAGAATGGACGGTATTACCGCCTGTCTGACTCTCATGCAAGGAGGGTGCACTCCCTGTAGAAATGTTGTTGAAGCTATCTGGAAAATTCGACGTTGAAGCCGACTCAGACATCGATTGGTTTCTCTTCCGGTTGATGATCTCCCGGGCATCAATAGTTGATTTTTTACTTCTCACCGGCTGTTGAGGCCGGCGAGTGTTATTGGTGTTCCTCCCAGGAAGGAGAATTTTTTACCAATCAATGGTCCCGGCTGCCTTCTCCTTTGGATGGGGAGTGGGCTGCCGGTTTCTAACTGACTTGCCCTTCTCTGGAGGAGTCTTCTTTGCCGACTGGCCTTTACTTGGGCCAGCCCGGCTCTTGGTGATCAGCTCTGTAATTTCACCCTTGAAACTTGTCATGATTCTCATGAGTTCGTCTCGCGTGACAGGGGTTGATCCAGCGGCCGTTTGGGTTTCCCCTTCCGGCTGCCCAGAGGGTCGGCTTGGACCCGCCTGGGAGGCACCCCGCTCCAGAGTGTCTCTGGGCCGGATGCGTTTAGTTCTGAGAGAGCCGTCTTCGGCTATAAAGGCTTCGACCTGAGGATCTTTATCTTCCTCATGGTCTGTAAAAACTTCTGGGTCTTCACCCAGACGGTTAGAGGGTACAGATCTTGAACCATCTTCGAGGTACTCTCCCCACAGACGGCGCCAAATGTTTTGGGTGTTTTTGTCCCTCGAGAGAGTTACAACACGAAGACTGATCCGGGGTGAGCTGTACCTACAAAACAAACGGAGACACCAGTTGGGTGGTGCTCCGCCTCCGACGCACAAGTTAGAAACTTGAAGGGAGAAAAAGGTGCGGAAATTTAGGTAGGGATCTGCTCGGATTCCAAGCTCATGATGTCTCTATCAAAGAGTATATGTGTAATAAATAATCAAAAACATGTCCTCAAAATGAGAGACATCTCCCTATTTATAGGGTCTTTGGGAATTGCCCCTAATTAGGTCACTGAACCCTAATCAATGATGGGTTGCGCCGTTTTCCGGCGTTCTCGGGATTTGGGCCTGATGGCCGCCTTTTCCCCTTTATTTCTGGAATGACACGTGTCAAGCAGGGATTGGTCCATTTTGGACCAATATGAGGCTGACACGTGTCACCCTCTGATTGGGCCACGTGGCAGGATAAAAATACCCTAAACAGTATCTGACAACCTGAGAGAGTTACATTATGGGGCTTCGATTCCTCCCGTCCATCCACCTGCAGCTCTCCAATCCCAGAAACAAATGTCTGCTTGGTCGAAAGAGTTAAATGATATTCGTAAAAATCTCGATAGTGTGAACAACTCTCTGTCATTGGGTTAAAAATTACTCGAGGCTGCTTATTCATATATGGAGATGAATAAAATGAATGAAATTGATGAAACTATAAAAAAGATTAAAGGGATCATTGATGATTCAAAGATTACTTATCGGAGGCTTGATAAGTTTAAAAGCAAATATGAAGGGGTTAAGAGAGCAGGTGCTGTGCCTTCATTGCATCTTGAAGAACTACTTAAAGAATTTCAAACTACTGTTGAGTTTAAACAAGATTTAATCACTTTTTGCAATGACTATAACAAAGGTGAAATGGAACAAGCAAGTGAAAAGTTTTGAGGTAATATAATAAACTTTTCTATTGCCCTTGCTACTTGAATATATATGGCATGCTCTACTTTGGCGGGATTTTAGCAAAATATAGGCATATACATCATACACTTTGCTTGTGATGTTTACGTTCATAATTGATTCACTTGTTTTGATGGGAAAAGTCGTTTGGGCAAAATCGTGATATCTTGGTTTGGATTCGTGTTTCAATTGTTTCAATTGTAATTTGAGTTTCATTTAGTTTGTTGTGCCTTTATGGTGAATGTGATTGAAATAAGGCTGGGTTTTGATTTGTAGGTGACTGATGAAGAGTATATGTGGGCAGGTATTTGATTTCATTGACCAATGCTATCAACAATTATTTTTTTGGTAGTATTTGCTTTTGTATTTGTTGAATAATTCTATGAGTAGTAGTTTTTCTTCGTGTTTTTTTGGTCGAGTTCTATGATTAATTCTGAATAGTGCTGTATTCTTTTTTAGGTGGTTGATTGTCGTGTTTGTGGTGACCCAAATTTTGTGCTTTGTTCCGCTTTTAATTTGTTGAATTCACATATAAGGTTATAGCATTGAACATATCCTTATTGTAGCTTAAAATCAAGACTTTGATTCTTTAAGTTTAACAAAAAACTTTTTTGTGGTGCTGCAGATCGATGGTGCACGGGCTGCATTAAGTCTGGCAGATACTCGACTTGGCTTTTATTAGATCAAAGTTCTGCCTTATATTACACTTTGGTGGGCTGTCATTCTAATAAATTTTAATGTGCATTATTGGAATTAAATCTTGGTTTTTGTTAATTTGTTTTTAGTTCAATGTAATGTATTTTTAGTGGGTTATCAACAATGAAATGTTAGAAAGTCTTAAAATACTTTGTAGTAAATTAGGGAGCTCACCAGTTATTGCATAACTTAGCTGCTCGTGCACTATTACTTTGTACCTAGGCCGACATTGTATATTGGTATTCGAATGTAGGAAGTATATACGGGGTAATATATTAGAGACCATAGTGTGATGTTGGAGGAGCAGGATTTAGTCTAGTGCCAATTATAAGAAGAGCTAGCTTTGCTGAAATGAAAAAGGTTGTTGATGTTGTAGATGAACTTGGAAGTGGGTGTGCATGACACATTAGGTTTGAAGCTAATATATAGTAAGTGCCATATTGGTGTGTAGACTATGATCTTCTCTCTTCATCCAAATCCCATAAAAATTAGCTAAACATGGAAGTGAAATGTTGGTGTGCTAAACATTAGCTAAATATAGTAAGCCAATCTTATGATGATAAGCATCGGATGATAAGGAGCTAAAGGATAAATTATCTGATGACAGGGAGAAGCAGGAGAAGTTATCTGATGATAAGGAGATTTAGGAGAAGTTATCTCATGATATGGTGCAGCAGAAGTTATCTGATGATAAGACTGAGTCTCTCAAACAAGGATGAAATAGTACAATACGATGCTGTCGTTAATGAGAATTTTGAGGATGTTGTCATTAATGAGAATTATGAGGATGTTGTTAAGTCTGTTGAAGAAGTTGATAATACTGTTTTGCCTAAGGAAGCGAATATGAGTCCTCTGATAGACTCATCAGTTGATGTTCCAACAGTCATTCAGTAAAATATTTCAAGGTTTTAGATTAGTATGGAGAATCCAGACGACGAAGATGAATTGCCTGAACTGCTTAATGACATTAGCCTGATGGAAACTGAACTAGAGGAGAAGACTGATTAGGGGAATTGATGATTCTAATTGCTCACAGTTTTTAGGAATTTATTTGTTATTGCAGCTGTCAAACTAGATAGAATTAGACATTTCTAGACTGTTCGTTTTGGCTAGATTTTTCTTGATGGCTTTGTGGCTTCCAAAGATAAACTAGTAGGAACTAAACATGTATCTTTGAGCCTTTATATTTGTAGTAAATCACGAGGTAAATGGTTTTTATATTGTGATACGTTCATCTATCTTAAATGAACTATAGGATACATTAGATGTTTCATGTGTTAGACTTAAAAGTTGATCAAGTGTTGTATTACATAGACCACGGTATAATCAGATACTGTTTCTGAATTCTGACCTGTACATATACATGTTCTTAATTGTAAATACCCACAACAAAGATGCTATGCATGATTTCGGTTGCCAATTTCAAAGCATTAAGCTTGCTGTATGATATGTGATGTATTCATAGAAAGGAATTGATACCCATGTTTTGTGTTGTCCTGATCTGTCCCAATTTGGCAAACATGGGTACAATAGCACAGGTTTAGAATTGTTGATGAAGTCTATCCCGATTTTGGTTCAAAATGAAGTGTCATGTGTATATACTCATTTGAATTCAAGCATTTATCAACAATATGCTAAGTCTTATAGCTGAGTAAGATTGGCTTACTATGGTCTACACACCAATATTTCACTTCCATGTTTAGCCAGTGCTTTTTAGGATTTGGATGAAGAGATGAGAACATGGTCTACACACCAATGTGGCACTTACTATGAGCTTCAAACCTAATGTGTCATGCAGGCCCATCTCAGCTTTAGGTTTCTTCAGACACTAATGTGCTGCTAAGTTTAGTTTCTTCAGACAAAAGGCTGTTAAAGGAAACTTTAAAAATAGGATATTTACTCATTAGCATCTTTGTTTGTTATTACAAAAAACTGACATGTTTTACCGGTTCTAGAGAGGAACTTGATGTCTTTTGCAAAGAATACCTCGAAATGATTTAAATGAAGTTCCCCGGAATTTATTCTCTGGGAGTATTAAAGTAGTAATGAGTCTGATAAAGTATGATAAATAAATAAGAATCAACAAATTCATTCAAAAAAATTCCCAATTTTTATAATATCTTACGATGTGACAATCAAATTTCGATTTTTCTAGAATATCCGATTTTTTGGAATAAAATCCCAAATTTGTGCTTGAGTTCATATTCCAAGTGATTAGATTCTATGATCTTTGAAAATTAATTCCGATGCTCATATGCCGATTTTCGGGTTGGTAGGCTTGGTTGATGCAGTGCATGATATTTGTCAGTTTGTAATTTTCTATGCAATAAATGTCAGTTTGTAATTTGTTTGCAATAAATGTCCAATTACTATAGAAGAAAGCTAGCTTGAGTTGGAAATTATGGAGGAAGAAGGTGATTTTATCAAGATAATACGTAGTATATATCTTTCACAAGCTTGGTTTATATGTATTATGTAATATATGTGATGTGTGATTATCTTTTTCATTTATTTTTTTGTGTTTTGTAGGAATGAAAGACTTGACTTTGGATCAACCAACGATTGTTATTGATGAGACAATTGAAGTTTCGGGTCCCACAAGTGAATGAAATGATCCTTTATCTAGCTTGCTTTGTGGCTTTGAACTTGTCTTGAATTTATGTAACTTGTGGACTCTTGAACTTATGGATTCTAGTTTTGAATTTAAATTCATGGACTCTTAAACTCTTGGACTCTAGCATTGATGTTATGTAATTCATGGATTCTTAAACTTGTGGACTCTAGCTTTGATTTAGTTTGGACTCTAGTTTTTTATTGGTCACTGGAATGTTGACTGTGGTATTGATGACCTTGCTTAACCTCTAGATCTTGTGGTTGCTGTTCATGTTCTTCACTCTTCTACTGGTTTGTATTCATTTTAATTGTTTTTTTTTTTTAAATTTAGTTATGGGTTTGTTGAATTATTTGTAAGACGCTTCTTCTTCCTCCATCTCTTAGACCCTTTTCTTGGTGGACAATTAAGTCTGATGAGGAGAGAGAAAGAAGAGAATTATACTGTAAAATGGCATGACACAATAGTGGGATACCCATGATTGAAATCTTCTTTGGTTAATAAAGCTGATAAGAAATTCGCTAACATCAGGGATTTTCCTCTTTATGAACACAATAGGTACATTTCTTTTGTTGTTGTTGTTATTGTTATTGTTTTTTTTTTCCCGATTATTCAAGCCTTTTGATTGTTGATTTTAAGGGGTGAAGATTGTTGATTATACTTTTATTTTTATCTATTTATTTTATATGGGTTTTGTACTTTTGTATTTGAATTGGGTTTTTCTTGTTATTATTTGGAAAATGAAATTATCCCCAAATTATTATCACCAGATTGTTGTGAAAATCTTTGACGAAGAAGATATAATGATAATTTATGTCAATTTATCTTGATTTATGCAATTGGTGAAGGAATTAGGTTCTGGCTTGGTTTGGAGATGAAACAAATGATTTTGATTGTTTAATAAGTGTGACATTGTGTTTATTACTTGGCTTCCGTTTATTGATTTGCAAAAATGCCTAAACTTTAGCTTAATTATGCAGTTGCTTAGAATGCTTCTTGCAAGATGGTTCTAAAAGAAGAAAAAAATTATCTTCAATGATTTGTTATTAGCTGTTGAAGAGAGTAGATTGTATGAATTTTTGTTCTTCTAAAATTAGTTGCAATAGGATACATAACTTATATGTGCCACGATTATTACTAGGATCACAAAAGTTGATAGAAATGTTGCCTTGCTGGCTTGGATTCGATACTTGCGATTTTTCATTTTGGGATTTAAACAATGTAACACCCCATAACATAGTCTAAATAAAGCCATAAACTGATAAACCCAATTCCTTATATAATTACACATTTTTGTTCCATGTATGCAATTCTATTTACCGACGCAATCATATTTATCGACATCTATGTTCACTTACTAATTCCAATGTCTATCAAAAAGCATACATACTAGCAAAAAAAAGTTACACTTTCGGCCTCTCTCACTAGCAACACTATATTGCTTCGCGCGCAACGCGCGCGCGTGGCAACTCTAGTAAGTATAAAATTTTCAAAAGTTTATATCCATCTCCGCAAGTGAAATGAGACTGACACAATATATTCTAGTTATATATGAGATATAAGCAATTTCCTAAAATCACACTCAAGTAAGATAAAGGATTAATAAAGATTTACATTGTTATTAGTTATCTGAGACCTGAAATTAGGTTAAATGGCGAAGGGATGAAATGCAAATTATATCCCTCAATTTTAAAGAAGATCTTGAAGTCATTTACATTGGATCGGATGTTATTTGTTGCAATAGCTTTGGAACAACGGGTTTAAAATTATGCTTTTTTATGAAAGGTTTTTTGAAGATAAAAGTTTTTCAAACAAAGTTCATCCTCGCTAATTTTCATTTAGTCTCAATTTTGTTTCTTATTTTCGGATATGCTTATGACAACTACTGATGTTATTTCTCGGGGAATTATTAAAAACTTTCTTCTGGGCACATCGATTGATTAAAAACTAAAAGTTGTTCCAAAAAAAAAAGATATTAAGCAGGGTACCCTGTGACCTGACCCGTGAAATTTGGGTACCCGAGATCTGAACAGCCCTAGTAGGGAGGGCATGCTTTTCTTCAAAAATGCAAGAATTGATGACTTTAGCTCATAATACCTCTGTAAGTGGAATTCATTAGAACTTTCTTTCGTCAGGACTCAATTAAGAATAAGCAAATGAGAACCTTAAGTCTTAAACCTTGATATCTGAATACTATTCTTGGTTGCTCCTGTTACCATTTTCAACCTAATGCAAATTTCCATTGCTAAATCTAAGTTCTCGGATGTATATCATTTGCCAGCAGCTCTTGATAGGTTCTCTATTGCAAAGTTCAGTTGCCTTCTCATACCATACTCAAAGCCTTGAAAATAATGCCCTCCGTTTTCATTTTCCTCTTTCAAATCTACAAAATATATCTCACTAATCTTTACTTATGCAAATTTTCAAACGAGTATCAAAGATGAATGGTCATCTGTTAAAAGCCATGTTACTTGGACTCGTGTTTAAATCTTTTGAGATTGCCCAAATTAAAGTGTCCAAATGTCAAAGATCCGACATTGGTACTTAAAGCAAAATTAAAGTCAGAGTAATATAAGTTGAAAGGAAAAGGCAGAGGTCCATATATTATATATACTATATTGACAAGATAGTCAATATTATACTTAATAACGCAATTCAATTACATAAATTGGCTTCAATTTATAACACATTAACACACATTTAAACATAACGTTACCAAATTATGAATACACGCACGTTGTAATAAAGAGAAATATTGGACCCAAGTATTAAAATAGTTTAATCAAAGTCCAACACATTAAAATAAGTAGCTCACATCAAGTTTAACAACAGCACTAATACTTAGCACCATGAACATACATACTAGATAATGCAAACTCACATAAGAGTAAATAGTTTAAAATCCTTAAAACATAATACGAAATATATTGTAATAATTACAACAGACGTTAACATGATATATTATCAAGATTCCTCATCAGTCAACACGAATAAAGTGAGGACTGTGTCGACACAACAAGAACCTTTCACCGGGTCCAGAGGTGGGATGAGCAACTACTTCTGGGCACATCTCACAGCCAAGTTTCCAGTTAACACCTGATATCCACATGAAAACGAGAAAATTAAGATCTAAGAACCAATGCACAATAATAACATCTAAGTATTAAGACGTTAAAAATTGTACATTCAATATCACAATAGGAGAAGATAAGGTAATAAAGCATTTACAAAATAACTAACTCGATGCATCTACAAGACCAATTGTTAAAGGTCAACACCAATTCTAAAGAAAATATTGATCAAGTCATGCAATATTTTGAAGTTAATAGCCGGAACATTCAACATGGATAAGTCATGCAATATTTTGAAGTTAATAGCCGGAACATTCAACATGGATAGATTGAATTGATATCAAAAGCTACTCCAGTAAAATAAAAATTAAAATATACGAAGTGCTAGAATTGATTTTAAAACAAAAGGCAGGATACATTAAAGTTTTAAAAGTAACTGCTAAAAAAAATAAAAAAATACAACCAAGCTATATAATTTCAAATAGAACTAAAACAACAATAGGATACAACAAATTTCCTTAGAGAAATACTAAAACAAAATTAAAAATAAAAAAAGTAAATCAAATTACTACTTAGTTGTATATATGTAACAAAAATAAAGTAAAACAAACATTACATAATTTACTTTGCAAAATTAAATTTTTTATGTAATCAATAAAAAGGGTTTCCAGTAGGGAAACAAACAGGCTACTTCCAATATAAGTGGGATAAAGGTTTACGAGAGTATTTCAAATTGGAATATCAAAACCTGGAATTTTCAAAGCAATAATAATTAAAATAATAATAAAATAGAATAAATAACAAATCCTAAACTCATCAAAGACAAATTAGTTATACCAAACTGTATCCATACCCTACGTTTTGATTAAGGGAAAGCACAGTAAATCATGATAGATAATGCCTTAAATGTGTGCCCACAAGTCTAGTAAAAGTTGCCAAGCATATCCTCTTGCCCTCAACAGCAGCTAATATATTCTAAGATTAAATATGGATAGTATAGTAACTGCTACTTGTGGAACAAATTCTCACTTATGCTTATTGCACTGATTTCTCAAAGGAAATCAAAAACATAAAACTTAATGAAAAATTACACGATCATTAATGATCACAATCTCGGAATGATAAATTAGTTTTCAAGAGCCAACACTTCACATCCTAAAAATTGACCTTTCCTACTAATAAGCATTCTCACTATGTAAACATGATTTTTTTTAAAAAAAATTGAGGAGCATTGAAACTTTAGAGATTTGGAAATTCTGCAAGAACCTCAACAGTTGAACCTCTACCGATTACAAAAATAACTTTACCTACTAAATAAAGCCATGTACAGATACAAAAACACCTCTCTCCCTATATCTAATGATCTCATCTATAAGCAGGGAAGAGAAGCAATAAACAAAAAAAGGCATGCAATGCATCCAAGCTTTTAACACGTTTGTAAGTCATACCTAAAACCTAACATATGAGCTATGTGTCAGATCTCAGATGTATGAAAAACAGTAATTAGTCCACCTGACTTTCAAAAAACAAGGGATGCCCTTGCCTCAAGATTCCAAATATTTTAAGCCCCTTAATGAAGAATAAAAGCAACAACAAATCTAGACCACGTGGACTCTTACTTCCTCCCATTCCTTCATAACAGGGTTAAAAGTCGAAAATCCCTGATAAGTGGTGATTATAGCCATTATTAGCCCCCTGATTCCTTTCGTTTTGACCACCTTTACTCCTTCATTCAGCATCTTTTACCTTGGTTATTGCTTAATTAATTCATATAAATGTTGTAGTAGTATATCCTATTATAATATTATTGCTTTATATACTTTAGCTTATATTGTTGAATTTTTATGACTTGGAAACATTTCTATTCTTTTAAACTTGTAGGTACACCTTTGGAGACATATATGACATAAAAATAGAGCCCTATGATAAATTAATATTGAGCGAGGCAATCATAGAATTGTGGATGCACAAGGGTTTGATTCGAATGGACATATATACCAACCTACTAAACATTCTAGGGTAATTTGACTTGGAGGTGATAGCTATCTCAAGAGGTTTCTATCAAGCAACCTACTCAACATGCGCAAAGTTAGGGCCCCACATATCCAATTATTTTCTTTTATCTTTTTTTATTTGAGGGGTTGTTGGCTTATTTATATTTTTAAAAAAGTTAAATAAATATAGAATTATTATAATATTAGTTAGGGCCCCACATTTTTTGTCAATTGAAACTCAAGTTGAACCTATTGGTATTCTTTGCAAAAAAAATAAAAATTCTCTCTCCTAAAAAATACTACTAGAGTCTCACCATTGGAGATGGTCTTATAATACTTTTTTGTAATTGGAATAAATCATCTTTACCCTCAAGGCATCTAATGAATTACTCATAGTTAGTTAAAGTATTTAAGTTTACTACTTGAATAGTAGCTCAAAAGAGGGTTCAAGGGATTCTAGGTGCATTTATTTACTATGTTTGATCACTAATTAGTGAATCAATCACCAACACGAGGTTGGGTTAAGTAAGACATAGACTCACATAGTCCTATTAAGTTATAAGCCACCACATTCACAAGAGTGGGTGGTGTGAATTGATGAGATGCTAGGTGTTGTTCACATTGCCCTTTACATCGCTTAACCTTTGGTTGGAAAATAGAAATAGTGGGGGAAATAGGTTCATTAACGTAAGTATGCTTATTTAGGGAGTACCTATTTTTTTTAGAGGATATTCTGGTTATTAGTTGGGAAGTCAAAGAATATTAGATAATAACTTAATGCATGCTATTGGGAACATTATCATCTGGAGTTTGATGCTTGCTTAAAAGGTGACACTGATTCATATGCTTATTCCATGTGGACTTTACCCCGACCCACCCTACTAGCTACTAGCTATGAGGATATGTTAGGAAATTATCTTTTGCAAAGACATGTCGCCGATCACTCCAACTCCCGGATAATTTTCAATTACATAATACGTATAATACGAACTAGAGTAACCACAAGTTAAATCCAAAGCAGTACATGACTAGTAAGACAAACATTGAGCCCACTAAGAATAAGTCAGATCTAGCAGAACAACCTATCTCTAGAGAAAGATTTCCTGGTTTACTGGTTACCCTATTTAGAATGTTTATTGTTATAACAATCGGTTTACATTTTAAGATAGTGACCATCTTGTACTTAGATATGAAATAAAATAGCAGTTTTACCATTCTGATAGCATATGAACTAGATTGAGAGGTTAAATTGAAAAGTTAAATAGTGAAAACAAAAAAGGTCTTAAAATGACAATGCAATAAAGGGAGAGTTATTAAAAGCTCACCATCCAACACAGCATAATTAGATGGAATAATTTCATTTTTAGAATTCATCTTCAACTCAGCAAAGAACACCTTAGAGGAAAAATCGCCGGCTTTCAAGGGAGCTGAATTAGGCTTGGCAGTGAAGTTGCAATGAGCAAAAAAATCATAATCTCGAGCAAAACAGATATCGAGACAATCCATAAGTTCATAGTCTGTAAGCTGCAATGAGACAGGCCAACGATCATGTAAAGAACAAAAACCAAAACAACATAGACATAAGAATAAGTTACAGGTGTTGATTTGTTGGTACATAAATTTTCTTGGTTAAATATTTTCAAGACAGCCTCAGCACAAGGTTTAATGCTGTCAATGCGGTCCTTTTCCAAAGCCATCAGATAACAGTCATCGCGTCCAGGAGGAAATTCATAAGGGGGATCCCAATCAGGTAAGAATGCCGAATAAGTCCTTCACCACCCACAATATTTATATTGTTAGTACAAATTTATAAACTTCGAGTTCAAAATGAGAAAATCCCAATTTATTTCTGAGATATACTTGTAAACAAACCAATTTCTATCTCACAACAAAAATCAATTTCTAGCTCAGTATTCAAAACGGACAACCTAATACTATAAGAAATAAGGATTACTCTGAATTAATTTGTTCGAGCTCCGCATGCAATTGATCGAGTTTCTGATTCAAGGTAAGAATATCTAGCTCAGCAGCCATCCGCCCTAGTTCCATCCTAACATTAAAGCAAACAAATTTGATTCAATTAGCAAAAGACATCCGCCCTAGTTCATCCTAACATTAAATCAACCATATTCGATTCAATTAGAAAAAGACATCCGCTTTATTTCCATCCTAACATTAAATCAACCAAATTTGATTTAATTAGCAAATTAGGCTCATAATTTTAAGGAGAAAGGTTCAATTTCATAGTTCTCTATGAACAATTAGGCTAGAAAAATCACCTTAATAATTTTAACCTGTAATTCAATAATCGAATTAAGAAAAACCCTAAATTGACTATACTGACATGTAATTCTAAAGAGGGTAAACCCTAGATTGTGAAATTGATTTTCGAAAATTACAAAAGGAAACAACATTACCTCAAAAGCTGCTTCAATGGAGACTCGATTTGGTGAAAAAGGAGTAGCCTCAATGGAGATCAAGGAGTGCGCTTTTTTGGTGAAAAAGAGAGAAGGTTTTTTTCGGTGAATAAAAAGGAGCTTGGCTCAGCCCGGGGTTAAAATTCCCAGCACAGGGGCAATGTTGTCATTTCGGTGGGTTAAGTTAGTTTTATTTTTGTATTGAAATACACTATATGTATAATTATACAGCTATATATAAGTCCTCTTTGCACAAAAAAAAAAGGGTTTTTCTAAGCTATGCCCCTAAGGTATTCGAGTTTCTAAGGTGTACCCATACTTTTTCAAGTTTCTAAGCTGTGCCCTTCTAGTCCTTATCAATACTAAAATGTACCCTTATTAGTTGTTTAAATGTTATTTGAGAGTGTGATTTCGTGGCTTCAGTTTTCATTATTAGGGTTGCGGTGGCTAATATTTCTTTCTCCTACCATTTCCCTACCTTTTATCATCAATCTATTAAATTTATAGTTAACTTTAGGTGACGTGGAAGTTCCAAGGAGGGCACCATTCATCAATGGTAATAAGTTGAGGGGCACAACTTAGAAACTTGAAAAAGCATGGGTACACCTTAGAAACTCAAATACCTTAGGGGTATAGCTTAGAAAAACCCAAAAAAAAAAAAAAAAAAAAAAAAATCTATATATAAGTCCTCTACCCGTTTGGCTTTGTGTTTCCCGTTCCTCATCTTCCCCAATAATAAAGTTAGGGTTAAATTAATTCTCGAATTGTAAAAATTAGGTTATACTGTAATATCGCAAGCAGTTAGAGTTCTATGACAACCAACGCCAATCCTTCGAGTATTTGATTTATAATTTGTAGTGTTAAATTTGGTTTTTTTTTTCCAATTTGTCATTCAGCTTTCGATTTGTTGTGGAACCTGAAAAAAATAGTTGTAATTTATGAAATTCAACAAGCTTATTAGATGCATAGTCAAAAAATTTATTATTGATTAATTCAAAATCATCTTTCTGCTTGTATATGTATAAGGTAAAGTAATATGTCTTTTTATTTGTGAGATTTTTTATTGAAGTTTTATTTTTTGATTTGATAAGATAACTGATAATTAAGGTGAAATTTTAACTGATTGCTTAGAACTAGTTGGGAATTGGGGTTGTTAGAATTTGATTGAAGGTATATTAGTAGAATGGTCTAATTGTATATGCTAATAGTGTAAGGTGTAACTTTAATTACTGGTAATGTATGTGAGGTGTTTAGGGTAAAAATTACCCCTAATACGTGGTCCAATTCCGTGATGACACGTGGCCCAATAAATGGGCAACACGTGTCACCACAGGAAGATGACACGTAGAAGGAGCAAGAGAGCACCTGAAAATGTGATTTATGTCATAAAGGCCTCCTTACATCAGGAGGCCCAAACTCCTAGGAAAGCCGCAAAACGGCGCCCCCTTAGGACACCTGTCCTAATCTGATTGCGCAGCCAATCAGAGCCCAAATTCCTAGGTCACTTACCCTAAGAGGCACAAATTTCAACCCCTATAAATACCCCAATCATTGATGATGGGAGGGAGATTGAGACATATTATTACACAAGATCACTAAAAGCTCCAACTTCTCTCTACATTCTCTCTCTAAATTTATTCCGTTTTCGGTCACTAACTTGATCGTCGGAGGCGAATCTGCGATCACCGGAGATTCGTTGTTTTGCAGGTGTCCGAGTCCCGTTTCCAGGTAGAGCGTGACCAGTATCCCGAGGGATTCCAAAAAACCCCGAAACATTTGGCGCCGTCTGTGGGGATACTCGTCCGTTATTGGCAATGGATGGTCAGACACCAAGCCCAAACTCTCTCCCTGGCCAGGACGGCCAGACCGCCTCATTTCATGAAGCGGAGGATCCTCCGGTTACTGTTAGTTCGCTTCTGCTTGCTTTAAATAAGCTCCGAAAGGAGATGGAGGGTAAACGACCGTCCTCTTCTAGGCCACCGCCCAGGAGAGAAAGGGAAGGCCAGAAAAAGGAACCCTAGAGCAAAACGACTAATGATGTAGATGCTGGTAACACCCCAAACCACCGGCCGGAACGTTCGCCGAGGGTACCGAGGACGGATTTGTCTCGGATCCTTGGAAAAACGCAGACGGCTGGGGGGCAGGACAGACGAGCTCAGAAAGAGATTACTGAGTCGTCTTGTCGGTTTAGGGATGCAAGAGACTATCTTCGGCATAAGTAGCGTGAACGAATAGCCTATTCGGACACTGCCTCTACGCCATCAATGCCGGATGATTTCTCAAATCACATCTCCTCCAAGCATACCAGCACGGCTAGGACCAGCAGCAGTCAAGCTCATCGGACTCCAACTCCAGTCCTAGTTCCAATTCAACCATTTCAGTATCAAGTTCCTCATAATTTCAATACTTTTCTGCCGACTAACCCTGCTGTACTCGGGCAGTATGGACAGTTCGGAAAGTCGTTCGACCAGACAGCTTATCTGGCCGGACCACAAGCTCAGTCGCAGCCAATTGATTGGCAAATGCGCATGTTAAATCTCGGAGACAAGCCGCCTCCTTTTTCTCAAGAGATCCTCAGCTCTCCTCAGCTTGTGGGTGCCTATGATGGTACGGGCAACCCGGAGGAGCACGTCACCTCGTACAGGAATCTTATGTATTTGCAATGTGTGGATGATGCCATTTGGTGCAGGTGCTTCCCGTCCACTCTCAAGGGTGTGGCGTAAGACTGGTTCAATAGTCTACTAGCCGGGTGCATCAACTGCTTCACAACATTAAGCATGATGTTCGTAGGAAACTTCTCCTACAATATTCCTCCAAGGAAGACGAGCCTTAATTTGGCTACGATCGTCCAAGGAAAGAATGAGGGGTTGCGTTCGTACGTCTAGAGATTCAATCAAGAGAAAGCCCAAATTCATAATCTGCCAGATGAGATGGCCTATTCAGAGTTTTTCCGAGGATTAAGGCATAATGGTTTCAAATTTGACTTGGTTCGCAAAAAGGTTCGGACATACGCAAGCGTTCTGCGAAAAGCCGAAGCTTATATAGAGGCGGCAGACTTCTGTTCTCTCACAAAAGCTGAAGTACCGGCCAAGGGGGTTGAGAAGAAGCAAACTTCTCAGTAAGACTCGGCCAGGAAAAAGAAATAAGGGAAGAACAAGAGAAAGGAAGTCTAGGTAGCCGACGGCCTAGAAACCAAGTCAAAGAAGCTAAAGGCGTACGAGCCCCAGTATGAGTTCAATATGGATTGTTATTCGATATTGATGGAGATCAAAGATAAGTTCGAGTTTGAGAAGCCCACTTGCATTGAGAGGCTTGAAGGAGTTATGTCTTCGTCGTGTGCAATTACTAGATATATAATTGGATCAAATTATGGAGATAATTAAGTCTGGACATTTGGGTCGTCGTTTTGCCATAGCTAGAGGTACTTATGATCTTTGGACTAGTAAAATAGGCCAAAGCCCAATTTGACGGATCCTTAAGGTCACACAAAGGGGCTAGATCGAGCATTAGAGGACGAGGCCCATCATGGGCCTCATCACTCTAGGTGGCCGGCCATATGGAGGAATAAGGAGGGATTTGAGCTTCGTGCACTAGTCTAGTTATAATGACATTATAAATAGACTAGGTGCCTAGGTTTGCATGTAAGCAATTTATTGATCTTTTGATCAAACTCGAATTAGCAAACACGAAACCCAAACCCTCTCATACTCCTCTCTCTTACGACTCTCTCCACCTCCTCGGCGCACAGTGGTGTCTCGTGGTGGTGGTGGTTCGTGCGGTGGTCGGTTGTCCGAAAAGGTGGTGATCGCGGTTTTCCTTAATCACTCGACCAATCTAGTATTGGTGGACGGCTCATTCGAATCTCGTGGACTAAGTAGAGGAGCAACACTTGGGGATCTATTCTCTCCCTGATTTGCCTGTCGAATAGCTTCGTAGAATTCACGCTTCAAAGGTATGATTATGTGTCTTGTGTGTTATGCATGCGATTCTTGGTTTAGGTGCTTTATGAATATGATTCATGCTATTTCCGCTGCGTAGTACCTATAAACTCCTACAGTGGTATCAGTTAGCCTCTTGCATGAACGCACCAGATCATAATAATACGATTATTTGATGTCCACGTTAATTTTATAATCAATTAAGAGGGAGAAATTAATTTAATTATGGTTTAATTATTATTTTAATGTGATTAAACTTTTGGAATCGATTAAATGCGATTTAATTATGCTCAAATAGCCATGAAGAGGACCGAATTATGCCCTAGAATGTTCGAAAATTTTGAACCCTAACCCTAAGTTATTCGAAAATTCGAACCTTATTAGCCTTAAAAATATGATTTTTGATGCTTATTTTGGTTGATTTCGTTTTAAATTTGTTTCATAATTTTAATTTGATTGATTTATGCATAAACATGTTTTATGTATGATCATAGATTTAACTTTAAAAGTTAGATATAAATTGGGATTAATTTTATGATAAACCCTAATTTTAAAGTTGAATATGATTTGATTTTAATTTTGGACTGATTTAATTTAATTATGATAAATGTTATTTTAATTATATTAAAAACACAAAAAAAAAAATTATTTTGGCCGGCAACCGCGGCTTGGTGGCGCAGCCACGGCGGCTGCCGACCAGGTGGCAGTCCGAGAGGGAGGGTGTAAGGGCAGGTGGTCCGGGGTGGCTGTGGGCAGCAGCGTGCAAGCGTTGCACGGCTGCTGCCGCGGCTGCCAGTGCTGCTGCTTTACGGCAGTGGCTACCGTAAGGTAGCCAGCCACCGTGGCTAGCCTTGGCTGGCCACGCACGGTGGCCTACAGCCACAACAGGTGCTGCTGCACGCTGCTGCCTTACGGCATTGGCTGCTGGAAAAGCAGCCAGCCACCGTGGCTAGCTTCGGCTGGCGGTGGCCGGCGTACATGACACGGTTTTCAAAAAAAAAATCTGTTTTAAAAATTATTTCAAGATAATTACGAATTATTTTGGGATAAAATCAGTTTTAATTTGGATAAAATCGTTTTATTTTGGGATAAAATCAAATCTTTCAAAAGTTGTTATATTTGATATTATCCATATTTAGTTTGTTATTTTTGGTGATTATCCTAAATTAAAGTGGTTAATTTTGGATAAGAT